GTTTCCGTTTATTTACTTTTCAGATCACTTCCATTCTAAAGAAGTTTTCACTTCAATAAATCCTACAATTATCTTACTCTTGAAACTGTACATTCGTTCGTCAGATTCTCTSGATACTTAGTTTTTTGAAGGTTTCACTTCTAACACGTGTGATCTGAACACAAATGTTTTTTATATAATATTATTGTAATATTATTTGTACTTTTAATTTGTAATTATTTATTTGATTATTAATTTATTTATAAAAATGTGCGCCTGTTCGTATGCAACCAACCAGACACACGTTGAAAATGATGCTTGCGAGCGTCATCTACTGGGACAGAAATTATTTGCAGTAAAAACTGTTTATACACGTATGTATGACGGGTTGCCGTCTTTTTCCCATTAGATCGCCGCGTTTCATTTTTTCAAATCACTTTCATTCTTAGGAAGTTTTCACTTGAAAAATTTCATTAAAATCCGATAAGCAGTTTTRGAGGTTATCGTAAACCAACAATGTGACACTGAATTTTTGTATATACAAATGAGAGAAATTTAAACATGACYCTGGAATGAAAGTTTCGACATTATTATATATATTTAAAAAAAAAAATCGAAACGATTAGTTTGTTAAGATTGTTTTTCTAGAGTTACAAAACGGAAAACCATCTATTAAAAACATTTAATACTAAATATTATTGACGGGATAAACATGTTACACCATCTACTAGGAAGAATATGCAGAATTTTGCAACCCTCTTTTACGTAGTAGCTGCATTAGAATTATACTATATATATAAGTATTGCTTCCAATTGTTCCATGTAGATACGACAAAATTGTAATTTTTTCTCCACTGCATGTGATGATGCTYAGAGTTTTTCAGCGATCTATATGGAAAACTTGGATATTTTTAGCCCTTCTCTACGTATTAGGCATAGTATATTTCAAATAACGTATATACTATTTAACAAATTCATATAAAAAGTTGATTAAAATATTTTGTAATTCTCGAACATCATTTTTTTGTCACATATAATTAATTATTTATTATCGATAGTTGAATTTCTATCAAATACATGGGCAGTCATAACTCTTTATTACTTTAATTAAAACACTTATATTATTTTTAATCAAATCATTTAATCATTTAATCAAATGTACATGTAAAGATTTTCTATTGAATATATAAACATATTATATCGATAAAGATTTCGTAATTACATATTTTTTGCATTATTTTAATAGTTATATAAATGTTAAGAGTTAAGGAATTTCTTCTTATGAGGCACTATTTGCAGTTATTGTATTCCTCATAGGGACCGATTGATAAATTCTTAATTTTTTACTTATATATRTTTTCTACGTTCTAAATCTTTCTAAGTAAAAATATTAAAAATTTGTTCATTCCACTTATAATCATGAAATATTTTAAATACAGAGAAACCTTCTCGTTAAAAAATGGAGTTGATGAAGTCGAATAGCAAAAACATTTCGAAGCTATAGGGAAACAATAAAAAGAATAATTAATTTTAAATAGGATAAAAAAAAAACATTTGTTATAAAAAAAGAGAAAATAAAAGATTTACCTTTTCATATAAGTTCTTGATTCTTCCACCGTATCCAACGGGTCTTTAATCAAAAATACTCGAATTCCCCTCCAGTAAGTAGGAGAAAAACACTCCCAATCAATATCAGCAACATTAAGGGGTTATATACAGTTAGACGGCCGAAAAAA